TTAACAGCTCAGTAACCCCTCTGTAACCATGGTGATCAGGGGTTAACAATGCAAGTTTTTCCACAAACGCAGCTGACACGTCACAATCACACAGCTATAGGCCCAACATCAGGCCAGTGATCAAAACAGGTTCAAACTATTGAGGATTCCTAATTAATGAAGTTGTAATAATTAATAAACACAACAGAAGGCCCACTTATCTTCATATCTTAACTATTTTTTATTTTTTTTTGAGAAGCAAGGAGTGAGTTAGTTTTTAGTCATTTAAACTGCATAAGTCTGAGAAAAATTCTATTCTAAACAATGGGAATCGACATCGGTAACCCATATTGATCCAGTTCAATCTTCAAAAGTAAGAGACAGTATTTTGCTCAAGCTTTACTATTATTATAATATTTTGCTTTCTGTTGACAGATGTTTGGAAAAAGATGACCAGTGCAAACGACATATGCAATAAACATTAATATGGGTTATAAAACGGTACATAATATCTTGTAAAATGGCAGTTTGATCTTGTACCAGCTGGTCGCCTTGTACATTTTTTTTTACGTTGCATTCAAGGTGACTCAATGTTTTATGTCTATTTTTATACCAGAATATTGCTTTGCCATATTCAGCATTCCAGGTTTTTCTAATAACATGCTCAGTTGTGAAATGATGATATCCCTTCAAAGCTGTTTTGGAGGACATATTCCTCAAAAGAATGCGACAGGATGGCCCTCATGTAGTGCTGAGCAGATTTGAGTTAATTCTTTAATAATGAGGCAGCTGTGTGGGAGTTGGCAGGGAAGCACAGAACACACTGTCTCCCTTTAGCTCTGACTCCTACAGTCCAAACTTAGCATTTTTTCATGGGCATAACATTGTAAGAACATGAAATCCACCACGACTGTTTGCTAAAGGAGCAGTTTTACTTGCACAGGTGAAGAGCTTATACACACACTCAAGGTCTAGCAAATTCAGAACTGAAGAAAAAATCACAAATGCCCTCAAAACGGATCGTGACACACCCAGAAATGCCACCCATGCAGCCATTTGCTTTATGTTGTTGAAAATGTCATCTGATTTTTAATGCAAGTTTGAACCAACACAAGAAACTGCATTGTACTTAGTCTGCTGTTGTGGGCACACAGATGAGAGATTTGCACTGGAAACTATTTGAGTATGTGGCAGGAGGTTGGTCATTGTGTCTCCACAGGAAATGCAATTGTCTGGATCTGCTTGCATTATAATTTTCTAATAATTTACAATTCAAATATTAAAGGTCCTATATTACACAAAACTGATTCTTGTGAGATTTTAGCCATGTTATAATCCTGATACCTCCTCAAAAACATACCTGGAGTTGTGTTTTGTTTCATCCATGAGAGAAGAATTCAGCCTAAATACGCAGGAAACAAAACGCAACTCCAGGCATGTTTTTGATGAGGAAACTACATTGTAGCATAGACCAGGAAATGGTGTAATATAGGCCATATAAAAAGAAATAGGCTAATTGAAAGACACAGTTTAAAGGTGCACTATGTAACTTTTCTGGTGCAAGGTAAGCAACTTCATTATATCAATGCAGACGCTATGTATTGCCTGGAATATTCCACTATATGGCACTGCTCTTATATCTCCAAACACTGTGCAAAGGTGAGCCTGCTCCCAGTAAGAATGGATGTTGTTCAGGTAGTTTTTAGCTATTTGGACACCTGTAATTGAATATATGCAAGCTCAGTTTAATGCCATACTGTGGAGCATTCCAGGTAAAGCAATAACATCCCTAGAGATAAGAAGGTGGTGCACCCTACAAACAGTTTAGATAGTTCATCCGAAACACCAATTGAAACTATATCAATCAAATATGTAAACTATAATACACTGCAACACATTCCTTACAAAGACTTAAAATACAGCATACACCCCAACACAATCTGATTTAGTCATGTCTCATCGTGTCAAATGACCTACTATTAACCTAGTGCTTTAGCCTAAACGCATCTGAAACTAAACAATGTTTATCTGAGCAGTAAGCAATGGTTTTGTGCTACCTGGAGTTCACCTAAACAAATCTAAGTATAACAGCTATTACTGTCACTATCACTGTCATCATATTCCTAAATGCCGCCCACACACCTTTCTAATCTAAATACTATTCCCAAATCAACCATTTAAAGTTACTTCAATAGCAAAATAAATTATTTCAGTGGAAAAGTTATTTTATAAGTTAGTAAAGAGCAAGCAAAACCTGCGTTTTTGATTTCCTATCATTTTTTCATTATTATTAAATTAATCAAATCAAATTTAATTACATTTGTTTATTATCAGTTTTAATTCTGTTAGACAAATGTTCTGGATTACATTTGTCCAATATGATCTAATCAACAATACCATGTATCATGTATCAGGATCAACTAGTATCATGTATCATTGAAACAGTGAAGATAGATTAAGGAGTAAAAGCAGAGAAGCAGAAGTAAGCCGTAATGCAGAAGTGAGTACACTTCCTCAAACCCCCCTAAATATTATTAGCATTCCATCAGAGGTTAGCACTATAATTTTTGATACTGCTCCTATAATACATATGTAAAGACTCTGTTGCATTTGAAATAACAGACCAGTGAACCTCTAAAAGACATGTGCAACAGAATCTCCTGTGGGGCCACGACTCCCCTGAAAAAGAGATTCTTAATCTCTGCGGCACTATCAGTAAACAGTAAAATAAGTACAAGTTGCACATAGAATTATAGACAAAGGTGCTCTGTGCCACTAGAAGTCCTTCCCCATGTATCCCGGCCTAAACCTACAGGGGTATCCCATCTACAGTGTAACTGTAGCCCAGCTCTCCTGAGTCCTGGGCCTTCACTTAATCATGCATGAGCCTGCTCCCAGTCTGACATGTAGAAGCAATGCAACCACCTCAGGGCAAGATAAAATAAAATTTCATCTGATATCACAAACATTCTGTATCTGATGCATCATAATTAAATCCATGTGTCCCAAATAAAAAGTTCACTTCATCACCCTATTTTGAGTTTACTCAGTACAAATAATATACCACTAACATTTGGTCCTGTCTGCTAGTACAGCATTACAGGTGCACTGTGACACTTTTTTGGTGGAGGGTCCACCACCTCTTGGTCTCCATAGAATTTCTAATTGCAAGTTATTGATTTGTCTCAAATGTTCCACAGTATGACATTAAACATATCAGTCTCCATGGAGACAAGCAGTTGGCACCTCCATGTCAAGTTACAGGTTAGCTCTGGAGCTCTGCCCAGACAACCAGTTGCTCAGGTAATGTTGTTCATTGAACAGTTCATCTTTAATAAAAGAATGGTAAACAGTGCAGATACAAGTACTTGTCTTTTGGCACATCCAGGAGCAGCATCATTGTACACTCTCACATCATACAGTAACCTAAACACTCATTATGTTTTGTTTATATAGTTCCACTTAATCACTGGTTCCTTGTAACACAGTTAAAGAGTCTTCCCTGTCAAATGAGAAAAGACTAAACCTTAACTTACCTCTGTGACTTGGATCTAAACAAGATGAATTACCAGATAAAATTCACCTTTAACGGTACTTTGTAAAACTGTCCAAACCATTGTTAACTGCCTTGGTGGCTCTGAGAAATTCACTAAACAAACCTAAAACAAAGACATTTTATGACCCAGAAATGTGACCAAATGTCTGCACACTGCACAAATGGAAGAGATCTAGTTGTTAGGTGTTAAAATCTCTCCTCCAGGGCTGACATTGAACAACACTTAGGCAGAGGAAAGCATTGAGGCGGCTTCTCTCTTCTTCAAAGTGTGACCACAAAAGGTCTGTTTCCCATTCAGTCCACAAGGTCATTAGATAATACACACAGGGACCTCAAGGCCAAGCTGTGGGGGTGGGACCACTGAGCCAACATGCACCCCCAACCACATAAACACAAACTTGGATGCAATTGCAAGGTAAAAGTTGTATTCAGACAGGCAGACTTATACACACAGCTCTGAGAAGTTCACATCTGTCGTGCTCAGCTGTTTGACAGAATCATGACATCATAACCCCCCACCCCCTCCAAACAAGCTCAAAAGTAGGCCACTTCTTTTCCCTTTTTCCCTGCCACTAAAACTCAATTGATTTCAGTTTGCTCAAAAACCCTAGAGTTTGACAATGTCCAAAACCTGCATAAAGAAGTTAAAGTATTCTGTGTTGAGTTTTTGGTGAAGATTTGACCTGCAAGTGAAGAAAAGAAAGACAGTGGGGATGTAGAAATGCATTAGTTATGAGCACATGTGTTTTTTGGCAAGATGGTCTCAACTATGAGTCATAAAGCTGGGAAAAACTTGTAACAAAGTGGGTTGAAGACAGATTCCTTTGTGCAAAGTTCTCCATGCAAGTGGGAAATCTATGTCAATTCATTATCATTAGGCTATAGTTCATTTAGTTTTTGAAAGTTGGAAAAGGGCACTACAATAAGTTTAAAAGACACTGAAGTGTAGGTTTAAATGATGTAACCAAGTCTATCTAACGTTAATCTACACTAAAACACAAATATTTTAGGAGATTAATCCATTTTAATTATCACTATTGCCCTTCTGACTAGGTGCTGATGTATACTGTGTCTGGCTGTCAAATTAAAAGAGCTAGTCCGTGAAAGACAATCCTGTCAATGATCAGCACACCCGCAGAAACCCGATATACAGAAAAGACAATCGCCAAGTTTTTAGAGGTGTGCACGGTTTTGGTAACAGCAGAGAAGCACAGTGGCCAGGTGTTGCGCATGGAGACGTGCCAGACGCTTGACGTGCGTAAAACACTGTCACCCTGCATTAACATAAACTTTAATTCTGAACCACTAGGCCTACTTTTCCTTGTTGCTTCAAAGTACTGACTGAACCGAACCAACAGAAAACATTAATACTTGCGCAACATTTACTCAAGAGGGCACATCAAAAATGTAATAACTGCGCTGTCAGCATCTTTACTTTGTGTAGATATAGGATGCAGTGTTTTACCAGTTAATGGACGAACGTGGGTTGATGATGTCTTCTTTAGCCGTGAGCAGTGACAGGCTGTAGGTATCCAGGTTGATCGTTCGCGTGCTCATCATGCCAAAACTTTCCAGAGCACACCTCAACTTTCTTTATTCACCCCCGACAACTATTCGGGCGATGGCTACGTGCAACGAGTAGCCAGAACCAAACAGCAAGCGTCAGTACGGCGGCTGAGGTATGCAGGGTCATGCAGCGGATAAGCTTGGAGTTCGAGTAAAATGGAGAGATCTATGCAGGCGCTGCGCTCTCCCAGTGAGCAGGGGAGGACTGCCAATGCACGCTGCTCTTTGTGCACTGGGGTAGAATAAGTTTTCAACAAAAGCCCCACCTCCTGTTGGGAGAGTAGAAGGAGTAATGACTTCACTGGCTGCTGGGTCATCGGGGAGGAAAGTGCGACTCACCGACGTGAAGCCTACCAGCAAGTAGAGCTATAAACCCTGCATCCTGAACAGATGAATGAAAAAGAAAAATCCAGGGTTTTACATTGTTCTTTGCACACTACTCAAGTTTTATGCAAGTTAGTCAAAATTTGGGATTGCTGCAGAGAAAAAATATTTAGGCTAGTATCCAGCATTTCTGACCACAACCTTTGGGCAGGCATACAAATGACAACTTTAATAATAAACGGTAAATTTTGAGGACTATTTTTTTTATTTTTATTTTTTTTTCATCTGCTCTCACTGTATGATCATCTAATTGTCAGTCAAATCTGAAATACATACATAGAGAGACCTAGAAACCCTAAAAATTGCATGCATAAAATGAGACTGGACAAAGCAATAAAATGAAATGACATTTCTGTATGAGGTTTTTAAAGGGAGTGAAGAAAAGGGGATGCCAGCTGTGCATGTGCCAGTGTCTTTGTCGTTGAGTGGACCTCCCCTGGTTCTTGGCAGACTTCACAGACGCCATTTACAGTGTCACAAGTGGGAATAAAAAGCCAAACAGGACCTGATTTCATGGGAAGTTAGTCTGGAGCAGGCAGCTAATAGAAAATGCAGAGGACTATTTCAGCCTGAAAACTGGAGGATTTGTGGAGTGGCAAACGAATAAAATATGACGTAATTACCATAAAACCACTCTTTTAACCCTCGGATGCATGACCTACCAATACCTACACTCTTCCATGAGTGGGGTCAGAAATAACAATTGGAATCAATGTGTTTTTGCAATAAATTCATTTTGTTTTAAGATTTGTATTATATTTTGATCAACAACAGTGATTTCATTTTTGACGTGTTCATTTATCACTTTTTATTCACATTTTATCACAAAACAATCAATCAATCAATCAGGTATAAAAAAAATGTCAAAATCCATTGTGTGTCCATCTAATAATAATAATAATAATGCATCACATTTATATAGCACTTTTGACACTCAAAGACACTTTACAGAGCATTATTCATTCACTCCACACTCAATGGTGGTAAACTATTACTGTAGCCACAGCTGCCCTGGGGCAGACTGACAGAAGCAAGGCTGCCAATCTGCTCTATCACCCCCTCCGACTATCACATCACTCACACACACACACACACACACACCACTTTCATACTACGCAATGTGGGTGCAGTGCCTTGCCTAAGGACATAATGACAGTTTTTGCAACTCCCGCCCCACTGTGGCACCTGATTTTCCCAGCAGTCTCCCGTCCAAGTACTAACCAGGTCCGACCTTTGAACTTCTGAGATCTGATGGGATCAGGTTTTGACAAGTTGGTATGGCCTGTATGTTTAATTATGGAGGACGAACAGAGAATGAACATACAGTAGGTCCGAGGACCATAACTCCGACCACACACATGTACACACACAAACACCTTGTCTCTTCTCTCAGGAATCCTAGTTGGTCTCCTAGCAGCCATGATACTGTAGATGAGAAAACATAAAAAGTACAATGTTTGAATGGCACACAAAACTATAAATCAGTATGTAGCTATGGAAGTAAATGCAGTAAGTGCACGCACACACACACACACACTCAAACACACACGCACAGACACACCCCGACACAGACACACGCAGACACAGACACACGCAGACACACACACACATACACTCACACATCACTAAATAATCAATAATCATAAAAAAAGGCTACCTAAAGGTTTAGCTTTTATTGCAAGGAAATTATAAATATAGTAAGAATATCTACACAGCAAATACATTACAGTACTAAAATTACTCTAACAAGGGATGGCTAACAACAAAGTAGGATAATTTGATGACAATAGTAGTAGTAATACTCTATCACAGAGAAGTCATGAATGTGGTAATGAAGTTGATAAATGAAGATAATACTTACATGTATGTTTTTGCATAAAAATGAGCTCCTGGGTGGTGAGACTGCTGCCATCAGACATGTAAGTGCCACAGCAAATGTATACTGACAGTCACAGTTGATAAGAATCAAAAGTTCCTCGGGCTAAACCTTGAGATTCGATAGGGATTGTTTGGGGTCATTTTTGACCCCACTTATGGAAGAGTGGGGTAGTGATACAAAAGCTGCAATTTCTGAAAATGTATGAAATGCAATGACCTCATGTCACAAACATGTTTTATGAAGAATACCTGGAATATGAAAACATTAGAGCCCGACCGATATGGATTTTGCTGTGGCCGATATGAAACCGATATAATGGGAGTTTGAGCTGCCGATAGCCGATATAATCACCGATATATTTAGTGATGTAAAAATTCACTGTAAATGTTGAATTGTTTAAAAAACATAGGTTTGGCTCTGGTGGATTTTAAATTGGGTTTATTTAGGCAACATTTATTGTTATTCTGCCTCTTTACATCATATTTACAGACAGTAGGTTGGCTTAATGGCATTTTTGCATCACATTCTAGACACTAGTGATGGGTATTCCAGTTCTTTTTAGAGAACCGGCTCTTTTGGCTCGGCTCACTAAAAGCTGCTGGTTCTTTTGGCTCCCAAGCGGCTCTTCAGATTGTTTTGTTGCAAGCAGGTCTAAAGCACGTCTAAAGCAGGACTGAATCAGGACTGAACCAGGTCTAACCAGGGCTGAAAAAGGACTAAACTGGGACTTATTTATTTTATGATAAACTACAGCCAAATATGCTCGTTTTTTGTTTTTGTTTTTATCCTATGTACACGCAAATTTCTCAAAGTTTCGTTTTCAGCCGCTGCCGCTGTCAAACCACGAGTCTGCACGCGGCGTGAAGAGAAAAAAAGTGAGAGAAAGAGAAAACATGGCTCCCAATAAGGATCAGGCTCCCGTCGTTCCCTTGAAAGAGCCGGTTCTAAGAGTCATTTCGTTCGCGACCGACCCATAACTAGTAAATAAACAATCGCTATTAGCCTTTAGCCGTAAATACGTGCGCGCCGCGGTAATTAATTATATGCGCAAATGTCATAATTCACACGTCTATTCACAGCTCATTTACATATCAATGCTGGTCCAGTAATAAATATACGGCCAATATAATCAATTTACAATAGACCAATAGAAAACAGTCTGTTTATGTGCGGGAGCTACAGCAGCTAACCCATAACAAATGACAAAAACTAGCTTCAGAGTCGACATATTTCCAACACTCACCGTTCACACAGGCTCCTCCTCACATCACAAGTCTGCACTAATAAATGTCCTTTTAATCCAGACTCAAACCGATTGTCCGTAAAAAGAATATAATCTCAATGTTTGGATCTGTGTCTGCAGGTGTAAACAAACACACGTGAGTGACGCAACTCTGTGGTGTGTTCAGGGACAGTACGGACACACACAGACAAATGACTCCGTAGATAAATACTGATGCGGAGCCACATATTAGGACATTTATCTGTCTGTAAATTGGATTAAATGAACAGAATGTAGAGAGTCTAAGATTTTTAACGATGTATCACATGCCCACGTGAAATATCGGCCCCTATCAGCAAGCATATCGGCCGATAGCCGATATGCCTCCAGGTGCCCGTATCAGCCGATAATATCGGCCAACCGATATATCGGTCGGGCTCTAGAAAACATAAATACTTTTAATTTCAAAGATTTTGAAAAATACAATTTTTGACCCCACTTATTTATTTAAGGGTTAATAAAATGCATTGATACAAAAATGCCATTGGACTGAAATTATATTTTGTAAAGGTTCTGAGTCTGATTTTTTTTTTATTTATTTTTTTTATTGTTATTATTTTTACAGTTTTTTTATTCAGTCATGGTTGCTGATGAATGTCTGTCTGTCTGTCTGTGTGTCCCAGACAGTTGTTTGTAGGTCATGGTGTTGGCAAATATTGTGTGTGAGAGGGATGAAGTGGATGAAACTTGATGAGAAGCCAGAATAAGTTTTATTGCTGTTGTCAATTAACAATAAGATTGGAATTTTCTTCAGTGATATGGGGTAACTTAAAGGTGCACTGTGTGACCTGCTTGTCTCCTTGGTGATGTTATGAAATAAAGTTTAAGATAAGTTGGAGTTGGCATTAATGGTCAGATTTATGGAGACACAAGTCTCCATATGGTAAGAATTAATGATTTCAAGGTAATTTTGAGCTATTAAAAAAACTGTATTTGAATTAATGCAAGGCGATGTTTAATGCCATACTGTGGAAAATTCCATGCAAAGAAATAACATATCCATGGAGCAAGTAGCTAGCTTGATTCAACAGCCGGTTTTACTTCGTTTCACTTCGTACAAACCATCTGACCTCGTAGCTTTAGATTTCGTTCGCTTGATGCTAGGCGGGTACTTCATCTATGATTTAACCAATTGCTGCTATTTGGTCATGACGTATGTAATGCGCTGCTAACAGAGCTACCTGGTATATTAAGCTTTTCCCAAATCCCGTAGGAAGAAGGGCAATAAGATCTTTCCCCTTGATGAAATTCACCAAAGATTCTCTTTGTTCGGGCTTTAAATCCTCGATCTTGGGGAATCGTTGACAACACTGAATATATGACACTTCTTTGATTGGCTGGTGCCTGAACTCGCACTTCCGGGGTTTTTGATTCCTATTGTATTTTGATTCCTGACCTAGTCGCTGGAGAGAAATGAAATTGAGTGGAGGCACTAGTTGGCACCAGCCTCGCTAGCAAGTAGCCGAACCTCCACCTTCAAAGTTACATAGTGCACATTTAAAGTGACCATGTTTATTTAATTTCTTTTTTAGCCCCCTCGTCCCTCCCCTCACCTGTGCTCTCTGGTCTACTTCTGTCAGGTCAGAGCTAGTACACTATCAGACAGCAGTAATGTAGCATCTAGTGGTGATATGTGACAATACAACAGGGCCAATATACTTACAAATGGTAACTTTAAAACCACAAATAGAAATAGCAAATATAAACCATGATGAAATTATTAAAATACGGCATGTGAGTAAAGTGATTATGAGTTGTCTGTCATAGTTTAATGTTAGAGTGAGAGAAAGGACTAAGTGGGACATGCTAACAATAAAAAGTGACTCCTACCTATTGCCTATAACAACTTAAGCTACTGATTTTACTAAAACACAGTTTAGAACATTATATTTAAAAGGAGTTCAGTCACACAGGAGGAGCTCGGAGTAGAGCTGCTGCTCCTCCATGCTCAGCTGAAGTGGCTCAAGCATGTGTTCCGGATGCCTCCTGGGTGCCTCCCTGGGGAGGTATTCTAGGCATGTCCCACCAGGAGGAGGCACCTGGGAAGACCCAGGACACACTGGAGGGACTATGTCTCTCGGATGGCCTGAGAACGCCTTGGGGTTCCCCCAGAGGAGCTGGAGGACGTGTCTGGGGTGAAGGAAGTCTGGGAGTCTCTGCTTAGACTGCTGCCCCCAAGACCCGGCTCCAGATAAGCGGAAGACAATGGATGGATATTTAAGATTTTTGCAAAAACATTCACACTTGTTTTCCCAATTTGGCCATTTCTTAGGTTTAAAATTTTACTTTCTGGTTGGAAATCGTGACATCACACTAGGGAATTCATAACTGCTTCTCCTCTAATCGACACATAAATTATTACCCGACCAATACCTATATTTTGTTGAATTAATGTTTAAAGTATTAATTATATGTGTATTATACACTGATGACATGAGACTAGGGAGAATATAAATCCATATATATATATATATATATATATATATATGTATATATATATATATATATATATATATATATATATAATATAGACTCATAAAATCTCTCATACACCCTTTAAAATCAGACACAGCACCATTGAGATTTTTAATAAATATATTTTGTAGTTGCAACCTGCTTTCAAATGGGCAAAAGGCATAACATCTCCACTTGGCATTATTCTTCCCCTTCCTGCCATTAGAGGCCCCTGCCCCTGAGACACTAAGTCCAGTAATGTGGACAAACTGCCTCACTCTCATACTTCAAGGGACTTTGGCATTTCCTCTCTCCACTGCATGTCCACTGCATGTCCAATTATCACAGACTTCCTGCGTTCCTTCTGTAGCCTAAACTAACGGCATGTAATGACAGAATAGTGAGTGGTATTATTTTAAAAGTTGTCTTTTTGTCATAACATTTTGGTACACTGAGGTTTGTGAGTTGAACAGTCAAATATAAATGGATTGTTCTGTTCCATCTGAGCTGTCATACTGGATCAAATCATCCTTTAATTTGTCGTTTAGTTGGCCAGAGGAGTTGCCAGATGCATTGGTGAAATTGTCTGCATATATTTCATAAAATAATTAATTTCCAGCTGAATCTGTTTCATCTAATCACTTATAAAGAATGGCTATGTTTATATGCACACCAAAAATCATCTGATCATTATTGGATTTCTGGAGGAATCAGACTGTTGAAATGTTATGCAAGCTGTTAAATCAGTTGCAGTTACAACAGTGTGTAAACTGATTTCTTTCTGACCGTTCCCCTGTGCAGGTTTTGACAGGTGAATTTGTAAGGGCATTCTAATGGGGCAAAGACAAAAATGAATGAGAAAATGTTAAATAATGAATATGTTATTTTGAAATGTACTTTGTCTTCCAAATACAGCAGTTATGGAAATGAAGCCTGTGTTTTATATTAGCAGAAGTCCGGAGAATATGAATGAACTGTTCACAAGACTGAGATGTAATTTTTCATTTATTATTATTTTAATGCTGTATACACAAAGATTGTTTATTCTAGCATCTCTCCTCTAGTATTGCAAAATGTCAGGTGCCCTTTAGCAATCATTTCATTTATGACTTCAGAGCAATCAAAGTTGCTGAGTAGCTCTGTCTGCCCTCCTCCAGGTATTACAATGCTGAGCTCAGCCAAGGAGTCTGTTATCAATTTTCCACAAACTAATGAGCCAGAAGTGGGAGAAGGAACTTGGCCTGTAAACAAATTACTTATAATTGCTTCATCATAGGTCAATTCAAGTATGCCTGTCATCATTAATGCAGCAAACTCTTGCTGCCCCAAAAAGCTTAATGTAACATCTAAAATGATGCCAAACTTACATGCAGTTGGTCTTGACTTTTAGCAGAAAATAGGCATCCTATCAGGAGGCCTGCAGATGAGGTCACTCCATAGCTATGCGCCTTCAAAACAGCCTTTAGAGCTCTTTTTACTCTCCTCATTTTCTCAGAAGACAACATGTGTCCAGGAGGGAGCTACATATGGTTTTTACATTTTCACCCACATTCTCACCTGTCTCAAGCTTCAGCTATTCAAATATATGGAGTCATTTGGTTGTTGCTGTTATGTGGCTATTAAAAAAAAAAAAAAAAAAAAAAAAAAAGAGATTTCTTAAACTTTCTTGTACATGTAAAGCTTACAGATAGATGCATTCACTTACAACAACACCAACCAAAGGTGTAGGGTATGATGCTAGAGCTTATAAGAGCTACCTTACAAAATCAAATCTTTCAAGTTTAGGGGCCCAAAAGTTACAACCTTGCACGCCATGGCATCTTTTGTGTTTATTCATATAAGTTTTATCTTTTTTAATGAGTCATCACCAGATCATTGTGAAATGCAAATCTCTTTGTGGAGTTGTAGTAGGGGAAGTCTGAAAAATGGGAGCCAGATGTGGTGACGTCATTGTGTCTCTCAGAGTGAGTCTGTTAAACCAGAACATTTGTGGGAAATGGGAATTGAAGCAAATGCCAAAGCACATGACACAGCCCTGTGGTCTGTAATCAAATGTTGGCACTTTACTGAGAAAATACTCACACATCATAGCATACAAGATGGTTTATTTCATTTGCTTTAAATATTCAGGTAGCGGTGATGCTATGATATGTCCAATAGAGGGTGCTTGAACTTTTCTGTTACTCGTAATAACTTTGGGGTCTTATCTGTCTTGCTTTTATTCCATTTCGGGTGCTTTTGTTGCTCAAAAATACATTGACATGTATGCATTCTTACTGAGAGCAGTGGTTCCCTCTCCACAGGACTGACCTGTAACATGGCTTGGTAGCATCACCAGCTTGTTTCTATGGAGATAAATATATTTAATACTGTGGAACCTTCCAAGCAAAGCAATATCTCCATGAAGAAATGCAGGTGGTGAACCTTTCACTAGAAAGTTACATGGTGCTCCTTTAAAATCAATATGAATAAAAACAGAAGTCAAGTTTAAAAGATTATCCGTTTTAATAAACCCATGTCAAACATCAAAATACTGAAATGGCAAAAAGACGCTTTTTATCACATTTTCTCAATATTTTGTACAAATCAGTGGTTTAAAAATATTACAAACATTAAGCTTCACAACATTTTTGCAATAGCCGCAAAAACATTCTGATTGTTGTAGATTGTTTGAAAGCCCTTGATAGTTTTAGTTGTGTATGCTGTGCTCTGTTTGCCTTTTATTGTAATATACACAACATAAGTGGTAGTAATAAAGTTAATAAAACCCATACCATATGAGTCATAAGGAACAAAGGTGCATCATAATACTACAGAGTCAATACCATCCACTTAAAGTACAGTAAAGACCAGAGGTTAAACACCATGACAGTAGAAGTATCCAGCCCCTGAACAGTGGGCCTCATACAAACACTTTAACACATAAAGCGAGGATAGTGACATATGCTTTGTCTGTTTAAACTTGCAACACTGCTGTATGTTGATTTAAAGCACAACGTACATACTCTATAAGTGTTCTTTCAAGATTGCAGTATAATTCAACAAATCATAGTAGCTAAGCAACAATAGAGTGTATGACTTCATTTGGCTTAAAGAGAAGAAGACCTAAGAGAAGATGGACAAGAACTGGGCATGTCCACAATATTAGTAATGACAGGCTACATAGCATGACATACAGGCACCTTAATGAATGCAACACTGGAAAAACACTGCCTTAACTGCTGGGTTAGAAATATGACAAGTTAGCATCTTAGCATAGACAATACACTGGACGTGCAGGTGGAAGTTCATATAATGCTTCTTGAATGTCTTAAAGGAAGTCAAAAACACTGTGCGATAAGATACTATACAGAAATGAGAGCTGCCTACTGTAGTTTCTGTGCTCTTGTGTGTTTCTTGGCTTTATCAACTCTTTTGAGCACAGAAAACTCTGCGTGCAGAGCCTGTACACAGCCAAAAGAGTGAGGTTTTACTCAAGGCACAGAAAAGGAGATACCAAACAGTGATGACAGACTCTACTAAGAATGAGGCCTTGCAGATAATGGGCTTGAACAGACTTTGGCCAGTAGGTGTCAGTGTTGCACATTTATAAAAAGTAATGTTTCACATTATCCCATAACCCTTAGCCAGTTAGAGGCTTAGAGCAAGCATTCAAAAACAAAACATTATCATTTACATTTATAAATCCATATGCATATAGGGTGGATGCTCAAAGAAACATGCAACCTAATCTTACCTCCTCACATGCAGATAAAACTGCTTATTTTGGGGTCCACCACTATGTATTTTGTGGGTATACAAGTCAAAAGTAGAGTTTGGCTGTTGTAAATTTTAAGCATTACTTTGATATAAATGTTTTAATGGTAACAGCACCTTAAGGGTCAAACCAAACACTTTGGTCAAGAACCCATTCATTTGCATATTGGGAGCATGTGGGGATGTGCTTGCCTAATATAATATGCTACTTTGAGCTGCATGGAGCTCATTTAGTAAAGCTGATCTGTGCATAAAGCAAAATAGCTAATTAAAAGCTACCACAGAATTTAACAATAACCATTTTAGAGTATAAGTGTAAATAGCATGCTACAATCATCAGAAAATAGAACACAATAAACCATTTGTGTTAAGCACAGGGATAGTAATAAACATAAAAACAAGGAAAGTGCATTCCAACACCGAGTGTCATTGTAAAGACTATAGGCTAACCGTGCAGCCCCCCCAGCACCGAGACCAGCCAGTGCTTAACTCTGTAGACTGCAGGAATCAACCTGTCAACCCATTGCTTGTTTAGCTTTCTCTCTAAAAGCTGAGTAGAGGATTAAAACCAAACATTATCACAATCTGAAATAATAATAATACTAATAATAATGACTATACTAAGGCCAAAGTTGCTTCTATTACAATTAGAAAAGTTTAAGTGAAGGCCATCTGTCAGCAAAAAACAAAGGTGCTCAAGGGGCATGGCTCAGGTTCGCTCAGAAGACCTCTCCATTTGATATAATGGTTGAGAGTGCATAAAAACAACACCATCACCCTTTATGATTATAGTGAATCAGTTACTACAGAACCAGTCTGCAGATTCTTACTGAGAATTTAGTTGAAATCCTACCTGACTCTGGTTGTCCAACTATTATAAGGCACATGGACAGTAGGAAAAGAATTACAGATCAGAGACATGCAACCTCCTAAAACCCAAATATACACAGGCATATTCATGTCTGCAAACAAATGTAGCTGGTTGCATGTACTGCAATAACAGATGGAGCCTGGGATATGCTTTTCCATCACTTGCACATAATTCAAAGAGGAATTTGCCAATTTCTCACTTAAGTCTTGTGAGATCCTTTCTACCTTCTATTTCTGTAGCTGACAATAACTTTGACACATCTCCCATGGAGAACACACCACGTGTCTCACACAATCCATCTTTCTCCAGCAGTCGCACTGGTGATGCTAAGGGGCACACAAGCACAAATAGAACAATGTGTTAATAGAAAGTCATCACCACAATGTCTTGTTTTCGCATAAAGGCCCAGAGCCCAAAGAAATTATCACTCTTTACAACAAATCTGATGTGCTCTCACCTGCACTCCAACTATTCAATCACAACAAAAGCACTATCTATTGGTTAAGAAGAAATATATAATATAAAGCAGCAGAGGCCATGGGGTGGTTAATGGTTTTACACATTCTAACATCACCAACTCTGAGAGAGCCCAGAAACGCTAAGAATCACAATACTCTCCCATTTGAATACCTTCAAAGTGTTATGTGGTAAACACTAAAACTCTTGAGACATTGTCAGTATCAAATTGCATGTGGACACTATAAAATTATATGTTAAGCACCATTTTCAATTATAGCAAAAGGAAATAGAAGGCAGTATGCACCTCGGAGACATTTCTCCCAAACCAAAACCTACACCTTACAGTTATTTTTCTAATACTTTCTAAATATATATGCCACTACCTTTTGCAGAATCATGATTGGATTAAAATAAATCACAGCTTTGGTATTATAAATATTACAAAATAAGTAAAACTGTTAGTAAAATAAGCACTTATCCTTTTGCCAGTAGAGAGGTCCCCAAAATGTATTTTGCTAGTAGTGATTACTGTCAGAGAGCATACAAAGTGCATAGGGGTTAATTCAGATCATTCATATAAGCTTGTATTTTGCCAAGCACCAAAGATTTGGCAGCTTGTTGAAGTCCAGTTGACTGGGGATTAATTGCCATTATCAGCTCATTGCAATTAACATGGCCATTGGCAGTTTGGAGTTGCCCTGTTACACCCACTTCCACACTTCACTGTAACAGTCTTTTTTTCTGGGGCTAGTGTCCATGAAGACTCCTGATAACATCATTCTTGAAAGATATTGAAGAGGGCAGAAATCTGTAAAAATCAGACATTGTCAGTGTCCCTGTTTCCAGTGCTGGTTTTGGAGGGGTGATCGTGTTCATGTGTGCAAGTTAACAGTCTGTGTAAGTGAAGGCAGAATTAGCTCCGCACATGGAGCCTTAAGGTCAGTGTGAAGAATGCAGACTGAGAGATCAGAGCCCTTGCACCCAGTGTACATTCTGGGTGCTCTATCGCTGGAGGGACCATTTTAAGAGGAGGAACAGAAGGGCGGCACTGGGAAGCACAAGTGTCACCCACAGCTACATATCCACAACACTCCACCACACCTGAATGCCAAATTCACCAGATAAATCCCAAATATTCAACAAGCAGTCATAGTAGTTCTTTGACTTAGTTCTCTCTTTAGCCTCAGGAGCAGACTTCAGGAGATGTGTGGAGAGGAAGACGGGTGTCTCCAGAAACACCAGCCCCTTTTGGTGTGCTGCTTGCGCAGAATCTCCTCCTCACGCTCACGCTCTTTTTGAGAGCGCAGGTAACGGTCCTCTTCCTTTAGGAACCACACTGGAGGCCAACGCTGCTTCTCAAAGTGCTTCTGGTTATCTGCACATATAGATTATTGTGTCATGAACAAAGTACATTTGAAATATGTGACCTAATAACAGGCATTGTTAGCTTTTATATTGTAACAAGTGTGCAGATACAGAAGCCATACCTGGAGACATGGCCTTCATGTCTTTGGGAAATTTCCTGCATATGCTGTTATAGTTAGTGCAGATGTGGTGAAGACACCAAGCTGACAGTTGTTTGGCATTGTGAAACTACAACAAGGAAATATGTTCATGATTTAATTAACAACTGCAGAATTTACATGTATCCTTCAAAGTACTTTTTTGTCTCTAACCTGTGCCAGTTCCAAGTAGGCCAACACTTGCCCATCAATATCCACTCCTTTCACTGCTAAATGAAGAAGTTCGTCAACAGCATGTTGTTCTGTGGACACAAACAGCATGTTATTATTGTTAGTTTCCTACAGTCAGATGTGGAGAGTCAATATTTATAATGAAACAGTCATTTACCAGTGAGAGCCACAAGGCGTGGCAAACAGAGACGATTGGCCAGAACTATAAGTTCCATGGGCTCCAGACCTGGACTGGGAGTCAGCAGACCACAGTAAAGGAACTCCAGTACCCCTCTCATACACGCTGTGCTTGTGTTGGGGATGGACACCTATTACAAACAGTAAATTATAATTATAGTCCAAGTATAATGGGTTTAGTGACAATACTGTACAGTAAATGTCATTAGGGCAGAGGATATCCTGTTCAGTCACACAGGCTTTGATGTGATCCCAGATGAAAGCACTGTCTGGGGCTAATGATGTAACCAATATGGCTGACACCTCACTGTGCATTTCTGCTATGCAAGACTGAAACCATATTCTTCATGTTAAGGCTGATTATAGAAAGTATTTCACTGCAATGTGTGTGTATACACACACACACACACACACACACACACATATATCACAGAAGAATAATATAATGAGACACATAACAAGATAAAGTTCATACAGGTACCTCAGTAAATCTCAAACTAAAACACCTTAGCCTTACACCTTTGCAGAGCCCTGCTCTATAGCATAATGGCATTAGGACAGAAGAGAGAGCCTAATGAAGTAAGACTGAGCAGCAGGCATTCATTTACCTGTGTGCTATGAAACACGGAAGGAGGCTAAATAATGACAGCGATAGCCTGACCTCACGGGGAGTTCTTAACTGAGGCCCTCTTTCACCTCAGCTTCCATAACCAATTAGGAAGAATGTCAGCCCAGTGACCTATCCTTACGAATTGTAAGCAACAATGCCAACACATGGGTGGTCTTCAGAACTGAAGGCTCCATCTTAGAACAGGAAGCATTCAGGAAAAGACTCCACAGCAGCAGTCCTGTAGGCAGGGCACATGTGTATGGAGCACTGTACACTTTATCAACAACTGGTTTGGAATTTAATCACTGTCATCGCCCTGTCTATGTAACACTATGCTAGAGACATGAAAAAGCTCTAAAATAGAGCTTTACTTCTCCTAAGCTTTTAGTGACCAATGTTTGCTTTCCACTATGGCTGCTTCAAATCAGTCATAAATCATGACATGCACACTTGACTAGCCAACATGTGTACTGCTTGAGGAAGATGAGAGGGACACTAAATATGCATAATGAGAAAGTGTGCACAAGTTTTCGGAAGATATTTAGCTAGGAGGAAGAGTTGCAAATTATATGAAACACACTCATTAACTATGGATGGTGACTACTGCCCACCTGTACAGCCAAGAATGAAAACTGGGATCTTGCAACTCACTGCGTTAACACAGTCAAACAGAGCCTCAGCAAACTCAGTTAATGTAACCATAGACACAAGCAGCCCACCCGCAGTCCAAACGGTGCCCCCTCAGCCCTGCTCATATCCAGTCTACAACAAACACTCTCTCCCACTCACACAATGTGTTTATTTTAATTTCAGCTTAACACAAAATGTGAAAATATGTGAAACCTGGTTTACTTTTTACACCTTGGTCTAGGTAACATTAGACACAAGAAACTATACTCGAGGGATCTGTTTCTCCACAGCCTTCAGAGTAGAGAAGTGGTGAGTTAATCTACTTCCTGGAGTTAGGTCAGGCCCAATGGAAAAGCCTTGGCCTGAATATGAGTATAAGGACAGAGAACACTCAAAGTAACCAATCCTGCAACTCAAAGCCTCTCAGAGCACAGTAACGTCTAGACCACAAGACAATCCTACATTGTTACTAAATTAAGAAAATAGTCATTTAGTATATTATAGTCTTTGTAGCATTGTTGATAAAACTTAAAATACTAAACCCATATCTTCAATAATTGAGGTCATTAATAGGTAGCATATTTCAACTGAGTTATAGTATTTGTTTTTTATTCCATTTTAATATTTATGAAATATGTTCTGTGGTATGACGCAATAGTCTTATAGGCTAGGCTGAAACCCTGGACCTGCCGTCTTCAGTTTTGTAAAATGAATTTCCGCCTCTGCCTAATTTGCTGATTGTCTCTCACCACTCTTCACTCCCTTTCATGCTTACATCTGTTTTGACCCACCTCATCAGTGTAGCTTTCCATGAAGGATCCACGGAACATCGCGGCCATCCAGTCACAGCTGGAGATGAGCAGGGGCTTGTGAGCCGGAAGAGAGCCATCATCCAGACGGAACACCACATCTGAAACCGGGTGGAAAAGAGCATTCATCTTGTAGAGTAGCACAGAAAAACCCTGGCTACAGAGACAGGTGGAGACATACAGCATAGGACTTACAGAAATGCAAAGAGGAACAGAGAAATGAACACAGGTAGACAGAGATAAATCTACAGAGCAACAGAACAGTTACTGCGAGAGTGGGTATGGAAGAATAAGGTAGGTTAAATGTTTTTTAAGGTGCATTATATAACTTTTTCTGGAGGAGGGTTTGCCACTGTGTCGCATTGTTATAGATGTTATTGTTTTGCGTAAAGGTGTTTCGCATTATGGCATTAAATGTATCAATCTTCATGGAAACAAACCGGTGACATCATAAGGAAACATAAATTAAGATTTATGTTTCCCAAAGTATTTTTTTTTTTGCAATTAATACATCCATAGTTGATTTAATGCAAGATAGAAACATTTAATGATGTACTGTGGAACATTCTAGGCAAAGCAATAACATCTCCATGGAAACAAGCAAGTAATGACCAGCAGAGTTACATAGTGCAGCTTTTGAATTTCCTTTGAGATCAATGACATATCTGTCTATCTGCCTGTCTATCCTTTTTTAATTAAATTAATATGAATTATAGGATATGTATATATATTACGATATTATTACAATTGATTTCATATGAAAAAAGATTAAGTATTTGGAATATGCAGTATGATAAGGAGAGCTGAAGTAAGCAGATCAATAAACATAATCATATTATAACAATGTGTGATGCTAGCACACCTCAGCGCTACGTTTATTGTATACTGGTATTGGCACATGCTATTCACATAGAAAAGTACAGTCACAATAATCTTTCCAAGCTGTTTGTTTTGAAACCTATGGACTGTGTGTGCGGTTTACCAGCAAAAGTCCCCTTGCTGAGACACTCCTTGATCCGGTTGGCCCTGCGCACGTGGAAAGCCTTGGTAATCTCCTGATTCATGAAGCTCTCTCGGTTCAGCACATTGGCCACCATCATCCGCAGGTCAAACACTTCCAGCAGCTCAGCTATAGTGGCCACCTGCATCAGATCCCCTCTGCCCTCATCCAAGCTGCCCGTGTAGAGGTACTGGAGCACAGCCTAGTACAACCAAAGACAAGCTGAGTTATGCAAACTAGGGCAAGCAAGCAATATTCATGTATTATAATGTTTTCAAATACATTTTGGATAGAAACATTAGTATTAGTATTTGTATTATACATGATAAAAATATGTTTAGTAATATTTGTATTGACAAATAGAAGAAACATATCCTATATGTGTACATTTCAATCACTGGTAAGGCTGCACAATATATATTATTGCAATAATTTATTACAATCAAATCAAAATTGCAATTTGAGTTGGCACAATTATCAAATTGCAAATGCTGCCAATATTTAGAATAGCCTGAACAAAAAACAAAATATCCTGTATGCATTAGATATTTATCTTAGGTGTTTAGGTGTTTTTGCAAAATTGGGCAGCCCTATGTAAATGTACATACATTTGAACTGTCTGTTTTAGGCTAGTGGCGGCAGTGGCTCAGTTGGTAGAGCATTCGCCCACTGATCTGAAGGTTGGCGGTTTGAATCCAGCTTTCGATATAAACATCACATCATCCACTGACCCACAGGTTAGCTGGTGTGATTCCAGCTCCCACAGATGAATACTGCTGTTGTGTCCTTGGGCAAGACACTTAATCCACCTTGCCCACAGTGTCTGTCAATGTGTGGGTGTGAGTGGTTCCTTGTTGTAAAGCGCTTTGAGTGCCTTGAAGGTGGAAAAGCGCTATAGAAAAATGTGACTATTACTCCCTATTGTTGTAACAACATTATTATTACCTTAAACGGTTCTTCTTGTATGAGCGCATCCATGGCAACCACAGTCATTAGTCGGGGGCGTCCTGTCACGGGATCATCCACATGTTCCAGACAAACACTCAGAAAGCCCCTGCCCCACCCAGAGAGTGCCCGCCCGGTCCCCAGCACCCCCACTGTGTACTGGGCTCGAGAAGGGAGTGCATTATCACTCTGGGAAGTCCTTAGAGAGCCCTGCTGCAGGAGCTGGGGTCGACTCAACACCTGTACCCCTCCCTGAATGCCATCTTTGTCAATGTCCAGACTTTTGGTACGACCTGCCTGCTCCTTTGCTCCTCTCCGCGTGTGTTCATCCTCTTCTCCAAGTTCCATAGTTTCTTTGCTCGCCTGATCCTCTCCCACCTGCCCTTTGGATAACCCCCCCAAATCCAGAGTGAACAGGTCATAGAATTTGGAGCAGGATGTAGCAAGATAGACTTTGTGTGCGAAGACTCGAGTGGCGGCACCTTGGAGGAGAAAGAGGACATCAGCACAGAGGGGCTGGCAGAACAGAGAATCAGGGCCTTCTCCATCAGAGGGTGGGGGGTCTGGGATTCCTACTATGGGCCGTGGAGGACGAGGGGGCAGGAAGGGGGCCTGGAGCAGTGGCCTCTGGACCTTCTTTAGATGGGACTTCCAGAACTGCAAATGCCGGCGAGAGATGAGGGCAGCTCGGATGGCATTGTCAAAAACATCCTTGACTCCAAACTGAGCCACAATACTTGTCTCGTAGTAAGGAATACCTAGTTCCTTTGCGACCTCGTGGCCTCTTTCTGGTGGAAGAATGTCTGTTGGTTTAATGGGTCTGTAGAGAAGATTAAAAACAAACTTAATTTCAACTCAAAACTCTTTTTGCTATATCATTGGCACTGACTCCGAGCAGGCGAGCATTCATCACATTGTGGGGAATTAAATCTGTATACACAGAACATTAATAGGGACCCCATAGGGTAAATTCTTCAATATTAAATCAACTACATGAAATAAACTTTAGATAAGTATTTGAGGTTAAGGATAGTGAGTGAGTTTAGGTTAGTCAAGCAGTAATTATGGTTAAGGTCTCCCAGAATTTCAACCAAAGTATAATGTCATGGAAATCTAAAATCTAAAAGTCCTAACTTGCTCTTTGGCCTTAAATACCTCTTATTCTAAAAAGAGTATAGTGCAGAAGTTCTCACTTGGCTAAAGGACGGCGGGCACGGTTAACAGCATCCAGGTCAGCATAGCGCAGATCCAGCTGGCAGCCAACCAAGATGATAGGCGTCCGAGGACAGAAGTGCTTGATCTCCGGAAACCACATGGTACGGACATGACGCAGGGAGTTTGGGTTAGCCAGAGAAAAACAAAGCACCACAACGTCTGACCTACAGGGATAAAAAATAAAACAGACACCAAAATTATAGATCTGTAATACATAGTGTGGCATCTGCAATTATGTTATGATGCTCCCTTTGAATTGTAGTGGTAAGGAAAGGATTTTAAATTAGGCAGGGTGATATGACAAAAAAAATAATCAGTTTGATTCAATTTTATTTAGTCTTATTAAATTTAACACAAATTTCTTCTCCAGACAACATGATTGTTGTTAGACAGAAGATTGGGTGTGGACCTCTCAATTAAAAAGACCCTTTGACCATTAGAAATCAATCTTGGTCTCGATTCAAACTCGATTCATAAGCCCTATTTTAAAACCACTGAAATGTATTTGATTATTAAACAACTTCAAAACCGGACTATAACAATATACATATTGAGAGACATTGCATTTACAGCTATTGCATAACAAGATTTTTATTGTACATTGTGCAATCCTGATGGCTAATGTCAGTAAGCAATAGTGCAGAGAGCCAAATGTGTGTGTGCGTATTGGACTTGGCTCTGTGTCTATGTGCACATGTCTGGACCTCCAGGCTACTGATTTGTGTGGCCTATTTTCCTCTTACATAAACACATCTAAGCCCTCTAAGGCTACATGGTCACAAAGAGATGACTAAGAATAGCTCAGAAAATGTAATTTTGTTTTAGGCAGTATAACATCATCAAAGACTGTTGTTATCGCTACTAGATGACATACATATGCAGGCCATGTTTCTAGGTAATGGTTGATAAAGATGTGTCAATATCAGTGACATGGTTCATTTGGAGTGAATAAATGCTGACACTACAAGTCTGCTAAATCATCTACGTGTAGATCAACACAACTACCAGGGACTTTTGACCTCAAACACTGAGGGAATACACTGAATCTCTATAGCTGAAACTACAAATAAAAATGAGGCATGTCAAAATTAATTCCATAATCAGTAATTGTGATTATGTAAGTCACATCATTTTTATAAGAACTAAAAATAATTATTGTGAAAACCAAGATAAGTAATTTCAATTAGTATGTTTATATCATTCAGAAAGTGTGATTTTATAAACCTGGTGACATACTAAAGCTGCGACCCCGGTACAACTAAGTAGTAGATTATATAAGATCATACATACAGACATTTTACTAATCTTACAAATATATAACATTATATAATAATGCTACAGATGCCATAAACACAAGATTAACAAGTTAAGTTAACCATAGATGACCTATTTTTTTTTTTTTTGCAATTGTTTTGCTTTTCTTAACCAAATAACCAACTCCAGACAAAGCAGTCGTTATGTCTGCCATTGTGATATTTTGAGTTTTTCATCTAAACACACCCTATGCACAACAAGGTCATATGTACTATGAGGAAATGTTAAGTACCAAAGGGCACTGGGGAGATAGGAGAGGTCAAATAAGGTGACACATGGGTGACAAAGCATGTCCCTAAAGAAAAACTGGAATAATGTGGCACAAATACAATATAGGGAAAAAGGCGTGAGGGGTCAGTGCTGTGAACAGTGAGGCCGGTGAAAAAGTGCTGAGCTGGCACTGCCTCTCCATCAGCTGACTGCAGTCTGACAGAGCACACAGGACACGCTCAGGGACAAGCACAAAACACTACAGTGTACTATTGCACTGAGGCTCATGTGGAGGGAAAAAAATACGATGCAATTACACAAACAGTCGATGCATAACAGAACTCTACTTATTATAGAATATGGCATCAGATTTAGTGCAGTAATTTTATCTTGGTGATTTACATAATACTAAAGATGTGAATAAATCGTAGTTTGATATGTTTGAGAGTACTCCCACTATATTTAGAAATTAAAATTGCATTGCATGTAAGACTGTAGGCAAGTACTGTATGCTATGTAATTTTGATTCAGAATATGAAAAGCATCTATATTATTGTGATCATAGTGGTAAGTAATGTTATTTTATATAGATTTTTACATTACAAATTCAGCAAAGCAAATCAACATTTCTTTGTAATATTACTTCTGCACATACTTACTTTATCTTTTTTATTTCCCTATTGACATTTTTTATATTTACAATGGCCTGCGGTTTGCTATGGTCAAATATTAATCCTTTCCTGTCACTTTACAGATTTTGATCTAGAAATAAAACTTTCATCTCAAGCCAATAAAGCAGCTTTGACAGAGGATATGGAGTAAGAGGATAGACTGATGATCCAATCATGTTTGAAGGAGCATGGATGAGGTTAGAGGTTAGCAGAGAGTGTGGCAGCTGGATTACAGAACAATTTGGGGATGAAACAACAGTGGCTCTCTGGTTTTCTTGGTTAATCTACTATTGTTCTTTCCTTTTGTCTTTCTTTCTGTAGTTACTACAGTATATTTACCCATTGTGTGTAACTAGTGCAATATTGATCTGTAGAAATCACAATTTTGAATCATGTAATAGTTATGCAGTTAGTTTCACTAAAAAGCCCTGATCAGATTATGTACTTTTTTATCTTGGCCTCACTGGACAGCTTTCTGTTATACGTGACATTGTGAGGATCTTTTCACCATTCAAAAGCTATAATGTTTTCTTTTAAATTATTAATCACTATGGCAACTGTCCTATTTTTTTCATCATTCTGAAACCTGTGGTCATGGATAGAGATCAGGATAGTATCATCACATCATATAGAATTATCACTTACCCTAAGGTTAAACCAATGGAGATTTTAAGATACTATAAAAATAAACTTAGACTTAATTCAAAAGTATTGTCACCCTATAATCTAATAAACGTAAAGTGTGTGATCTAGCAGTTTATAGAGTTGTTCAGCACTTTATAGGGTTGTTCCACAGCTATTTTGTAAACGTTTTAAAATGTTTTAGATAACGTATCTCTATGAAGATTTTGCATGTCTTGTCAGTAAAGTCATGTATTTGACATTTGATCCCAAGCTTTATATCAATCCATTCCCTCAGGTTTTTAGTGACAATGCAGTGACAAGTTATCTATTGATGGTCACGCTCACATATCAATATGTAAAGAGGCTTTTTTATTTTCTTACCTGCCATATGCAAATCTTCTGTCTTTGTGATGGTCCCCAAAGGTGTCCCAAAGCCGCAGAGACACGCTGACCTCATCGACGACATCACGTGATCGCTCTAACACCTGCAACCCACGTCCATTAAAATCGAAAAACGCCTGAGTCGTCTTCACAAAAGAGCACTTACCTCCTGGCATACTCGATACTGGTCAATGGCCCAGACGGTTGGCACGTGGGTGGCGAGCAGCTGATACTGTGTGAGGGTGGCATTGCAGGCCCGTGCACAGATGAGCCTGGTCTTGCCGACTGCGTTGTCCCCAACCACCACACATTTAATGGTTTCCACATTGGGCCGCTCATAGTCTGTGTCTATATCCATGGAGAGGGCCCTGGTAGGGAGAAGTGTTAAGATTAAGACATTTGCTTTTTGTTAATCTACTGTTATCCAGAATAATCCATATTTTTTTCAGTGAGTACAGTGGTCATTTAGTCAATAGATATTAACTGGGGATATATGCAACTGCCCTCACAAAGACTCATAATTAAGGGTAATCAATTAAGCATATGCATCTTGTTGAGGGGCAGGTAAAGCAGGCAAAACTAGATTTGGGAGGCAATTAGCAACATGCCTTATAATTCAAATATCACAACGTAATATCCAGGGTTACTGGATTATACTGTACTGCAGAGTGTCATTTGTGGTTGTGGTTGAGGCTCTCCAGCACACCTCAACGCCTGACCACAGCCTTGGCACAGGATGTTGGCAATTCTGTGCAGAGCTCAACTGACTTCCTCTTAAAGCCACACACAACTGTGAAAAGCTTATCAAAATCTCCTTTCCATAAACAGCTTATAAACATTTCTGGCATGTCCAAACACATGATTACACTTTTTTTTTTACATTCCTGGACGAATCTACTTTGTTGCATAATGACCCAAGTACCCACACACACTGGTCTATAGTCAGCAAATCAGTCCATCTGTCCCTGCGGCTAACTTGTTTATAGAGCCATCCCAAGTCCATAAATAGAGCATCTGAAACATTCATAAAGGTCTCACTTGTTATTCCATTGACATGAATGCCAAAGCAGCACTTCAGTCAAGCATTGACAGACACCACCGCTAAAAACGGCATCTATTCACTGGACATATGAGCCACGTGTGCACTCTCATAAGGCCCCATGGAGGCTCTCATATTTCTATACATACCCAATATTGTGTTTGCATCGCCTTCTGCAGCCACTTCAATAAAAATGCATTTGACGTCATATAGTGCAACACGGAAGGCTACCTGAAATGTGTATGAAAGCTCTGTTGACCTTATTCTTTTAGATTTATTGAAACAACTCTCCTTTTTAGGTCAGGTTTTTATCTGCATGACCTTCAGACAGTCGCACGTACAGTGAGAGCCAGAGGATGCAATTACATTTTATAGCTAGTATTCAATGAAAAGCGAACTGGGGTTATGCATAATACAACACTATTTCTACTGTAAGATTTCAATAAAATGTATTTATTAAGTTTAAGAAGCCATTCTACTATTTTGCACTATACTAAGAAAGAGCTGAGTGAATAAAAATACATTTAAAAGAGCCAAAAGAAGAAAAGAACCAAGAACTCAGCTATGGTACCAGATCTATCTTGAAATGATGAAAATAAACTAACATAAACTTCCAATTTACAGGTAAGCTCTGTCTTGTCTTTGGTTTAAAAAATTCAAATAAGGAGTCAGCCATTACTGGGGCTTAGTAATAAACAAATCAACGCACCTGCACAGAGATAGATTGCAGAATGTTGGTAGAGATGATGTAAGCGCAGTCTGTCTATCAAAAGTTTTGAGTAGGATGAAGAAAAAAATCCCAAATATTATCCTGTGACATGTGTGCTTTTATACTAGGCTCCAGGCTGGACATGCATCAATCAACACAATTCACAATGCACTCACACATTGCTGCACTCAAAAGATGTGCATCTGTGGTTGCCAGTTGTACACAGCTACAGTCAAAAACTAACTTTCACTTCAGGCTTTGGTAAGATTCACAGAAAGTTATATTTAGCAATGACCTGTATGTGAACTCATATGCAGCTCACTAATGAGTAAGACTGAGATATGTTATTGTATACTTTTGATTACACTTAATAATAGCTGCATAATGAATTTCCTAACTCTACCTCTTAACTCAAACTCTTTAATTAAGTAGTTAGTTAATAGGCCTGTATCATTCTAAATCAAAGTGTTCATCATGAATTAAGTCTTTCTTTGTGCTTTATTAAGGCTGTGTTTAGTATAATTATTATAAAGTTTTGTCTAATTCTTTAATGAGAGACTGAACAAATAGATACCCAAAATACATAATGGAAAAATCAGATATAGCAGAGCAGATTGAGACTTGAATGCATCGGAAGACCAGACAACCAAAGACACTTCTAATATGGCTTTCCTTTAAGAACACTTTTGTGAGAACATTTCCCACACAATTCCAATTCAAACTGTCTCTACTGTTTAAATCATACTGTTTATGTCCTGTACTAAGTCAACATCTAATGGTGTGTACTGTTTAGTTTTGTTATAAATCAAGTATATAAATTATTAATAATGTCATAACCGACACCACACAAATAAAGCACAGATGCACATCCGGTTTATTTCCCATGACTTCCTCTCTCTGTTATGCAACACTTTCAGCATTTCTAGAACGGAAAAAAATCATCTCAAAAGCCTCAGAGCCTCTGTCTTCTTTTCAGGCTGTGGACTTCTTCTAAAAATGTTGAAGATCAACTAAACAGTTTGCATTTACCTGTGTAATTAGTAATGAGCCAACATGCAGTCAGCTTGCCGGGTTTTACAGTATAACAGGATTGAACACAAAAATTAAAGGACCATGTCTATTTGTTGTGACATGTGCACTCATCTATGTAATCTTTAAATTTGTCCAAACTTATATGAATCACCTTGTGTTTTCCATTGATCTTAGGTGTTAAATGTGTGTGTGTGTCTGTGTGCGTGCAAGCATGTGTGTGGGTGAGACGGTAACTGCCATAGGCGCAGCTGGCACAGACTAGTTATATAACCTGATGTGCCTGGTTCCCTGTTGGATGGCACTAGACCTCATATGGCACACAGCAGAGTCACCTCGCCCACTGCAGATGCTCTTGGTGCTTAAACCACGCCCAGTCACTGACGTCAGTGCTACACATCTATCAGTGTGAATGAAAGTCAATAGAACAGCACTCCAGTATGCCAGAGTAAATGCACTGTAAACAACACAGTCCCCTAGCCTGATTTTGAAACACTAGGTGCTATTTTTCCTTTTCATGCTAAGTCACTGTGTTTCTTTACATTCATGACAATGAGCAGTGAGTCCACTATTTCACACATTAAATGAGTAAGCAAGTTTCCCTCTTGATGAAATGGTGATTAGGCAAACTCTGCCCAAGATGACATGTACTATTTTACAACACCGCAACGGAAATGCACCGCAATAGCTTAATATTCTTGCATCGTGCAAGGAAGTGAAGTGGCTATTTATAGAACATGTGGTTTTAAAAATCTCTAGCAGACTCTCATATCCAAGGTGACAGCATCACAACGACACCTGCGTAACTCTATCGCCCCGTGACGTCACAGCCCATCGGATCAACATTACAGTCAAGTCGCGCGCTCGTTCGACCTCTGAACAAGCTCCTCTGTCTGCGGTCAGCACCAGTAGGAAACCGCGTTAGAGCACGTCCTGGATGAGGTAGCCTATGGAAACATAGCATCTCTGTCCTCATCAATGAAAAGCACCTCAAGAGCTCTTGCTCCCTGCAGTCATTCATAAACACCTGGCCCATTCATATTTTCTGGAATGGCACGCCAACAATTAATCTAATTTCAGTATTTTTATTTTAGTTTTTTTATAGATAAGAACTTAATACAAGACGTTACACAAAGTTATGACTTATTATGTTTATGTAGACTGTAAAAAATGTAGGTGGATGTAGGTGCCTACATTCTAATTGTACAGCTTAGGTCTTGCGTAACGCGCCAAGCCCATCTGCTGCACTATAACACACAAGCAAACTGCCTCAGTAACCGTAACTCTATAATAATGTTCACATGTGGGATTTAAAATAATAATCCCTGTGCGAGTAAAACAATCGTTTACAAATAGCATCCTTTTAAGCATGATTTCATCATGGAATAAGTTCAGTTCATTGTGAAATGGCATGTGATGTAAATAGAAGCACCCGGTAATGTTGAAGTCAAGAGGAGACCGTTAGAGTTGAATGTTGCTTTGTGCACATAGTACCACGCATTGGAAGGCATGTGACCTACTATTCGTGCAGGAGACAGTTCCTACCTTCCGACGGTTCCGGAATTGACCCACATGCCACTCCGCTGGTGATTTAGCCCGTCCCTAAACCGGACAAAGCACGAAAAAGCAAGAGAAAAAATAAATTGTCGACTTGGTTTTGGTCAAGGAGCACGTTAAAACTGCAGACGATGCGCGAGGAACATTGTCTGCTCACACATCGCTGTCCTTTCAATAGAATGTCTTATTCCCGTCTCCTCTAAAGTAGAACTGTTTGCTGGGCTTATAAGAAGCTGCACGCTAACTATTTTTGTAAATTCATGGAATCAATTGTGGCTTGGACGTGGTGTAGTCTGAGCCACCCCTTTTTGTTGTTGTTTCCCCAGCTGATTTCTGCAAAGACACGCCTCCAAGTCTGCGCGTCACGACACAAGACTGGCAGCTCTTCCTTTGTTGCGTTCAAGAACAATCAGAGAAGTAAACATAATTAATAGGTTGGCCAGATTCTAACGAAAAAAAAAAAAAAGTCGTATCATTAGACACTGAATGTATGGCTTAAAATACAATGTTAATATGGCCAAAATTTATTTTACGACGCACTCGCAAATTAGTATTTTCTTTCTTCGTTTTTAAAGGTAAATATAAACGCTACACACCAAACCACGCCTTTATAATGGTCCCAGGGCCATGTCACTTTGCTTTAGGATTCAGAAGTATTGATTTTTATTGTACGATATCTTCTTCCTAATTCTGAACCACATTGAAACGCTATGTCGTTGTATAGCCTGTTTATCTGTGTCTACAATTAGAATCAAGGGTGACACTTAAACGCGTACAAAGTGATGACAACACCGCAGCCAATCGAGTGCAGAATACGGCATTACAATTCCGCCCTGAAACTGCACTCTCATCCTGTTAACCCCACGTTGTCCGAAAAGCACGCTGTCTTTTGTTTAGGGAGAAAACCTCGCGCGTAACGGCCCAGACATTTCTGGTACCAAGCTTTTTCCTTACTCCTTCCTAATATGGTATTAGAAAGCCTTCTCGTTTTATCAAGGATTCCTTATGTCAATTGGCTCCAAACATTCTTCTTACGTATAGGCCTACCACCAGACCAGTACTATATGAAGTCTTGAAATCCAATCATAATGAAATTTCAGTTTTAATGGTCAATAGACCTTTTTGTTGCTTTTGTGGTTATTCTAGGTGTGCAGGCATAGCAACAAGCTACCACATAGCAACACATATGGAAGAAAAGTAGATCTATGAATAGTGGTTTTATTTTCGGATGTTCATTTACTTAACAATTTATGAGTGATTCCCAACCTAGTCTGGACCCAGATTTGGGTCCCTGAAGATTCTCGGGGCCTCAGGGGTTTGCAATGAATGGATGAGAATTAACCGGTTTTGAAAAGTTCTATAATGATTACTGCTGTAACATCTTTATAATACTGTATAAAAACATTTCAGCTTATAAAATAATTATGTGGGAATAATTTTGGTAAAGTGGTTAAATGTTAGATGTTATGCATTTTTACTGTTATATCCCTACAATCATAACACAGTAGCTGGGTATTTTACAGTCTTCTTAGGTCAAAGGAGTCTGAGCTGTATGACCTAGCTTTCCTTAGAAAACTGAAGACAGACATCTGCTGGCTGAGGCTGGAACTGGCTGCAATAACAAAGGATGAACAATGAAAGCCTTTTTTTGTCTATGTCTGTGATTTTAGGTCATCTATCTTGCAATCCAATGATAGGTTAAATCAGGACAGGGGGAAAATGAATATACATTTGCATATTTTGTACTCCATGTGACGGACACGTCATGCAATACCAACAACTGTATTTAGAGATTACATAAAAGAGTTGCTAAATTAATTTGGATTAACCACCCCAACAACAACAAGATTTGAAAAAGTACTGTTATCTGTGAAAGTTGGAGGCTTCACCCAAAATGTAAGTATGTATTATTACTGTCTGAATGGGCTGTACAAGAATCATTAGGAATCATTAGGATGTAAAAGTACTCTTCTTATTTAAAAAAAAATAAAAATAAAAAATGTTACATGTATAAACTTCATAGTCAGCAACATTTTAAATATGTGTAACAATATTAAGACATAGACATTTAGCTTCAATATCTGATCATCACAATGTTGTCCCCTCTGTTATGATTTCATTCATATTTTCTTTTTTTAGTTAGGACCAAGACCCTGAGAAAACAGTGGCCTTTGCCCAGCCTGGCATGGTCCGAATAAAACAGCATGAAAGATGGGCTGGAATGCTGCAGAAGTAAACAGGGCTTCCAATGTGCCGCTACTAAAAGCTCTTAGAATTCTGAAGAGGCGGCCCCTTTGTCCAGGAGATGTACTTGTAAAGGAATTCTCAAGCGGGACAGGGTGAGGTGATGTCTGCCTTTTCAGCTACTGTAGTAAGGAGGCACTGTGGATCTTTGTATATAAGCTTTATCACTCTTTCATTAACTGTGTGGGAAGCTAACTCCCACAGCATTTGCACAGTGGAGATTAAAACTGGGAGAATAAGCTGAGGTCACTCCCTGGCATGGACACCAAGAAACCCTCAGACAAACAGCTTGAAGGGGGAGACCAAAACATTCATTAACACATGCTTCTTAAGAACTGGCTTCTGTACATGAGTAGTAACACTAAATATATTTATATCTCTATACTGTACATGTATTTGTATCAATAAAGCCCCTATGCCAAAATGAATTAACATGTGTCTGTCACTGCTGTTGTGACACGGAGTGTTTCTTTTTTGACCATATATGGGAGATTTTTTTTATGATTTATGATGCATCTGCCGAGCAAGAATACAATAAAAGTAAATCCTGTATATATACCAAAGTATATACCATCTGTGTCCAGTCCTCCACTGGCCTTCTTCTGACCTCTTTGAATTATCAGAATATTCAACAGAGCAGCAAGCTCCTGCTCTAATACTTCACTGGAGTTGCTCTAAAGCTGTCAAAACACACAGCTTCTCACACTCCACGCACCCACCAAAACCCAGCCCTGTACACACAGCGTCCCAAACAAATACACACGCACAAGTTACACTCCACACAAGTAGGTCAGAGCTGCAGTGGGTCTTCAGCACCCTGCTGCCGATAACAGTATCAGAGATTAAATTCTACCTTCACTGCCACACGCATCACATGTAAGCAGGGGTCAGTTTCATTAACTTGTCTACATGCAAGAGAACAGTGTACCCTTAGAACCTGCCCCAAACCTCGATAAATAATCATGGCATTTTAAGAGGAAGATGTTCATGTGGCCGCACTAGTGTGGACAAGCCAAAATAAATATATAAAATTTCTTATATTCTTTTTTTTAACAGGATAAATGTTGATATATATTTTATCTTTTGAAAGTCAGAATGACTGGCAACAATTGCACCATTAGGGCCAAGCAAAACATGCCAAATTATTATGCCAAGCATGTACAAATAGGAAACAAAAAGTTGCTTAAGTTTCAATTGAAACCCACAGAGAGAGCATACACATCTCGTGTGGGAACCTGACAGCCTGAATATCCAAAGGACAAAACTAAGCCCCCATATAAAGTATAATGTCCCTCAGTGGGACTGGACCCTTTTCTATCCTCTTCTCAATCTCTGGCCCTGTCTCCACACACATGCATCATTTGACACACACAAGTGTCAGCAACACTTCGGCATGAAACAGAGTGTGTTTTGTAGCAGCCTTTTTAGAGATAGCTGATGATGTGCATGTCAGTGCTGAGTTTAAGAGAAAAACAACATTCAGCAGTGAGATAGGGCTCCCATTAAAATCAGTACAGAAAAGTCTATAGAAGCAGAGAAACAGGCCGCATTGTTTACTGTTAACTTATCTGTGGCTGGTCTTATCTACTCTCACTTCTGCTTTTGCAGCTGCAGTTGAATCATTACTCTTAATGAACATTTAAACATTTCAATTGACAAAAATTGGTGAATTGAGTGAAATTGGTATTTTACACAAAACAACAGTTTAAAATATTGTCTTCTTATATGGAACTGC